TTCTGGGCATGCAGCAGCTGAACCTGAGGGTGCTCTTCAGCATTGTCTGCCTTGTTTTAGCCTCACACCTTGCATCTGTCCTGTCTTCTGGACAGCCAGGTGCCAGTGGCAGCAAGGAAGACTTGACGCGCTGCAGTAGCAGCCAGCAAAAATTCTTTAAATCCCTTTTAAAAATGGTGATAATACCACTGTTAATGCCTAACACCACAACTGCCAACTTGAGGACCAGTGTTATACAACAGTGCTTTCCTTCAGAAAGTCTTTCCCCATCTGCTAAGGAACTCTTGTTTATCTACTATAGAACTCACATGTGTTGCAAAGGATACTGGGGCATGTTATGTTTCAGAACAAAATCCAATATTCCCCTCTGGCTGCCCATTCTAGGAGGGAAACAGTGATTGCAAAGCTGCTGCTGTTATGACCTTTGCACTCTGGAACCTTGGATACATCCCCCAAAGACCCCAGGGCTGCCTTAGAGCACAATGTTGAAGGCCACTGGCTTCAAAACTGGAGCACCAAAAGCTCTAGCCAGTCTTCCCCAACCTAGTACCCTCCAAACATGCTGAACTGTAATTCTTAGCGTTCCCTAGCCAATTGGGAGTGTACTACTCTTAATAAATCTCCACTTTGGCATTTGGCCCAATCTATTCTCACAGGATTTGAATATTACTACATGCAACAACAGGTTCCTTAGGAAGTTTTCTAGACTGTATGATTCGGCCATCCTTAACCGTTGTCCCTCACTGACTCCCTTGCATACCCCTGCATCCACACCCTTTACTAATATTTAAAAACACATGCTTATGCAAACATAAGCATGGGGGCAGGACTGAGAGCAGCCGACATTTCAAAATGGTGCGGGGGTGGGTAAGCTTACAGTCTGTGTTTTAAATATAGAAGTAACAACCCAGTTGCTTTTCGGAACAACCTGGCAAACATAATGTTACAAAGCTCCAAGAAAGTATCACACCATTTGGCAGACAACAGTAGGTGTGCGTGGAGAGAGAAAGAGCTAGTTTGTGTGTATCATTTCTGAAGTTTTACTGTAGTTCTGCTGCTCCGGCAAAGCTCCAAGGAGCTTCCCATACAGAGTTGGCAAGGCGCAGATGGCAGTCATGTGAAGGCACAGTCTGGAGGAGTGGGCATCCCTGGCAAACACTGTCATGATGCCTTCTCCAGCTATCACACAGAAAGAAGTCTCTTGCAGCACCTCCCGTTTGTCCCACAATACAGTGGTCATGCTGGGGGCTGAGAGGGTAGGCAAAACTGTACTTTATGGCTTATATAAGACTGTTGCCATCTTGGCCCACTGTCAAAGGATGAGAATGTTGTTATGCTTTTGCCACAATTACAAAAGCAGATCTTTGTGGGTTATTAGCACCAGAAGATCTCTAGCCAAGAAGTGGCACTTTCCCCATGCTTCTCAAGTGTCTGATTAGGAGAGCTGAGATTCCCACTGCTTTCAGGCTGCTGGGGGGGAAGAGAATTGTAACCTTTCACTTTAGAAAGGTGTCCCAAAGTTACCAAGGAAGATGAAGATTAGAACTCAGTGCTGATTCTACATCTCAGCAGTGAAATAGACATCTAAATTTCATAAGTGGCATTTGGACCTGTCCTAAAACATAGGTTTTAAGATATGTATCTGAAAATAAAGTTGGACTAGCCCTTGTATCTAGCATGTGGTTTAATAACTTGATCCACAGGACAGTTAAAGGGAATTGCTTCTGAAGTGGAAATTCAGCAACCTGGAATCCTAAACAAGTTTATTGGGACGCAAGTGGAACTTATTTTCAAGTGAAGGGGTTTAGGTCACAGTGCAAGTCTCACTGACTGCAACTTTGAATTAAGTAGATTTACACACATAGGACAGTTCTTATAGCTTTTACAATGTCACATCTGAAGAGCATGAGCTTATGCTCCATTTTAGTGGTGTTTACATACAATTGTCTCTGGATGAGGCAGGTATTTCAGGCAGGCAGATTCTGAACACTACTGAAGGGAAATAAATACATTTGAATGACTTTTGTCTCCAACTAAAGCCAGGGAGTTCTGTAAAATGGACTGAAATAAGATTCTAAAGTATCACAGTGATGGAGATTTTGAAGGCCAGAAAAAACATTTCACGTAAAGAATTTTGCTATAATGGCAGCAGCACGCAGATTTTGCTACTGTGGACCACTGGAGCTGGGGGATGAAAAGACCTTTGCTTTTTTCACCTCTGGTGTCGAAATGTCTTGGTATAACCTTGATATTAGGACATTTAGTAGTGGTAATGGTGCATGATAATGCTGGGATTTGTAGGAAGGCATTTCCATTAACCTCAATGCCACTAAAACTTTGATTTCTAAACATAACCAGGCAAAAACTAGTTGAGGTGAAGTATTCTAAGTCTTCTTGTAGAATAGAATGAAGAATGCCAAGTACATTAAAATTTCAGTGTGCACAGACTAAGTTTGCATTTTAGAGGGATGGAAGGAATAAGTAAATTACTGTCCTGTGTGCAGAGTAGGTGGATTATACATGCTTGTTCCTGCAATATGTGGAGAGAAGTTTTGGTCAGGTGAGTTGCGGATTTAGCCAAAAAGCTCTATCAAAGATGCTGTCTGTGCTGGAGAGGATGCAAAAATGGGCAAGCAAAATGATCAAGAAAGGTTTTAGTTTAGAAAAATGGCAGTGGGGGGGGGGGGTGGACACACTTGATCAAGATGCTTAGAATTATGTATGATGTAGAGGAAGTGGACACTTCTCTTTCATTATACTAGGATCTGGGATCATCGCTTGAAGCTGAATGGTGAGAGGTTCAGTACAAACAAAAGGAAGTACTTTTTCATACATTGCATAGTTAATGAGGGCGCTTGCTATCAGATGCAGTAATGACCACCAACACAGCTGATTTTAAGGCATTAGACCAATGGCTGAAGGACAAGGTTACCAGTGGTTACTAGTCATGACTATATGCTACCTCCAGGATCAGAGGCAAAATGCATCTATGTATCAGTCACTGGGCAACAATAATAGTTCGGTGCCATTACCCTCTTTTCCTGCTTATGAACACCCTACTGGCATATCTGGCTGGCCACTGCAGGAAACAGGATGTTAACTAGATAAGTCATTCGTCCACTCCAACAAGACTCCTCTTATAGCAAATCATACAGATCTCATAGTATTTTTCTGGCATCTGTAGATTCTTACTGATTTAATCATTATCAATTTCTGTACTTCTACAAAGGCTAAATATCCAGCAAATAAATGGCTTTTCATCTCATGCTCTTTCAGTTGCACATTTCTTCAGCTACATTACATTTTTCATTAGCATATGTCTAGATAACACTACATTTAGGGAATAGCAGAACTCCCTCTCCCCAGGGAATATTGGGATTTGTACTTCTACAAAAAGGGCTTGGGGTCGCTAATGGAAAATTCTAAGCATGCTCACCTGGCTAGAGTTCCTGGGATTTCTAGGATCCATGATAACTACTATAAAATAATATATATTTCACAATTGAAATGCCAATGTAAGTAGAAAAATCAGTGACTATGGTTGATTCACTTTAAGCCAAAAGTTGTGTGTGTGTTGCCATTATGTCTACATGGCATTATGCAACCCTTCATGTTTTCTCCACCATGAATAGCCTTATAGCATTAAACGAGCAAGTTGTGTGGATTTTCTTAAGTCCTTAGGGATCAACATTCAGAACAAACTGAATGCCCAGAGTAAAGGTATATAATTTCATTTGCTATGATTTTGTGACAGAATTCTTACAAGTCAGATGTATCTCTTAAGTAACAAAATGTATGGTCAATTGATTAACTAATACTATTGAGAGTTTGGAAGGAAACTGAGAGATTGAAGGTGCAATCCAGAGACAACATAAATGTGCTTAGGTCTAAATCCTAAAATAAACAAGTTTATACAGTCTAATGGTGCAATCTTTTGCATGTTTAGATAGAAACTTCCAGTATTCTCCAGCCAGCCATGCTCGGGAATGCTGAGAGATGTAGGACTTATGTTATCTGAACATGCACAAATTTGCATCCCAAGGTTACATTCTGAACCTTATTAATTTCAGTGGGAGTTAGGATGAAGTCTATGTGAAACCAGCTGAATTTTCACCATTAACTTCTTTGGATTAAGATCTTTAAGGAAGCTTCTTCTGTGTATTGTAAAATCTGAATTGTGTCTAAGCGCTCATTTTAACAATGCAACATTATCAATGACTTTGTGGCACTGATAAAATGTGGTCAAAGATTAATATAAAGTACATCATCATTCAAATGGGCCAGGCAAGCAACAGTTAGCTTAGATAAATTGGAGTTCTCAAAGATTTGACATGTGATGCCCCTGATCATGTGGACAGGTTTTCATTTATCATGTTAGACATGAAATTTAACATAGTCTTAATTTACAGGAATGCCACCACTTTCTGAGGGAGTGGGAGAGGCAAGTCATCTGTGTGTGATAGTGTGTATGCATGGGAAACATGAGAATGCCAGCAACATCTGTGGTGGAACCAATTGTGTCCAAATCCAAGCTGATTTCCACCACTGGGGCTGTGATACTGCTGGTGAAACTGAATCACTCATCCCAGCTTCCTTCACATAACTAAATCGACCCCTGAGTGAATTTATCAGGTGCTTGACCTATTTATGCCAATGCTGTATGGAAGCATATACAGGGGTACCTTGGTTCACGAACGCCTCAGTTCACGACCAAATCGGTTCATGAACAAAAATTTTGGAAAAAAATTGCTTCCGTTCGTGAACTCCACATCGGATGACGAACATGATCGCGGCCATCTTCCCTGCTCGTGATCGCAAATAGACAGAAAGACCTGTGGTCACTTGCTGTGAAGCTTTTTTGTGTGCTTTTTAGTACATATAGTACTGTAAAGTATTATTCAATAATAATATTGAATAATGGCTCCAAAGAAAGTGCAAACATGGTGGTAAAAATTCTTGTGATTAAAAAAAAAAATTTACAGAACAGATTAACCTTATTTACATTGAACCTTATGAGGAAATTTGACTTAGCTTGTGACCAAAATTGGCTCACAACCACATTTGTAGGGGTCAGAACGGATTAACCTTATTTACATTGAACCTTATGGGGAAATTTGACTTGGTCCCCGACCGATTCGGGTTGCGACCAGAGACGTGGAACGGATTAAATTCGTGAACCAAGGTACCACTGCATAGGAAAATACTGATCTTCCCTAATAGAGGGTTAGGTGGCTACTTTGCAGCTGCTGCGTGTGTGTGTGACTTTAAGGCTGGTTTCAGTGGTATCCTCCTACCAGATGGGAGATTGCTTGGCTGTGTACCACAACAGGACAGGTATATCTTAACACTGCATATAATCAAGCAGAATTGCCCAAAGCACCCAAGCAGATGATATATTTGTTATTTGCAGCAACCTTAGAAGAGAGAGCAATGGAGCTGCTGAGGGTACTGTAAACAGGGCCATCATCTAGCTAGTGGTATGAATAAAAAAGGTGTGTGAATGGAAGATGTTTTTGGGGAAAGGGTTTTGGCAAATATGGGGCATCCCATTTTTGCATTTAATCCAGATAAGTTGCCCTTGGTCCCCATGAAGTGGGCCACACATCCATGTAACATGGAAAGATGGCACCCAGATTTCAATGTGTGTTCCCAGTGCACATCCAAAAAATGCTCGCAAGAGATAGAGGTGCAAGTTTCCTTAAGTTGTGGTGCATCTGGGGATGTGGCAGAGGGCCTGACAATGTACCACTGAAATTTCTCATACTATGCTCTTTTAATTGATCTGAGCCAACATATTCATTATGCATGTGTTCCTTGTCTCCCACCCATCCCCAGGTTTATAAAAAAAACATCCATTTGGTGGTGAGATTATGATGATATTCTATTGTTCTTCTCAATACCTCCCCCTCATTAAGGCCCTACACCTTTTGCTGCTGAACTCCAGTAGTGACCAATGAATGTATCCGGATGCCCACATAAAAAACCTGGTATCTGTCTTTCCACATCACAAAGCACGCTGCAAAACCCACTATGGCCGCAAGAAGGTTAAGCACTATCTGGATCAGCAAGTAAAGATTGAAAGTACCAGTTATGTCCGTACAGTCAGATACATTCTGATAAATGAAGCTTCTGCTGAGGGGATCCACTGTGTCCAGTTTACACTGGCAGATCTCAAGGTTGGTTTCACAGATAAACTGTGTAATCTGTGAATAACGGTAGGCAGCAAAAGCCACAGCCAAAACACAGACAATCAGACTCAGAGAGCTCAGCAGGAAGTATGCAACCTGGAAAGAAAACACAATGAACATCTCTTTAGGACTACAGCCAGTAATGTCTGTGTTACAGTTACAGTGAATGCACAAAATTTAGGAGTGCTTGACATTTATATATGAATTCTGACAGTCTTGTATGACTTTTGGGAACGTCCAAAATAGATGTCAATTTCCCTACAGTTTTCCCTTCCCTTTCTGACATGGCTGCCAGGAGGAGATTGGAAGCATTTTCTTATGTATTCACATCAACATCCTGTTTCAAACACTTCCCAGACAGATGTTCCAGCTAAGCGATCAGCAATTATTACTATTATTGTTATTCTCATATTACATTTATACCTGCCTTCCTTTTTCTTGCAATGCAGCCAAGGTGGCTTATGAGGTGGTACTCCTCTCCATTTTATCCTCACAGCAACAGTCCTGTGAGGGTTTGGCTGAGAATTTGTGACTGGTCCAAATTCACCCAGTGAATTTCATGGCCGATTGGGCAATATTGCCTTGAATCTCCCAAGCCCAACTCCAATACTCTAACCACTGCACTACAGTGACTCTCAATCTCATGTACTATTTAAATATTCAGTAACAGGTGTTACTATAGTTGTCCCAAGCTTGGGACATAACAGCATACGGATGAGCTGTGTCTGAGCAGACCAAAGCCATGCCTCATCCAGCATCCTGTTTCCATGGTGACCCACTAACGCCTATGACAATGGCCCTCTCCTGTTGCATTGTTCCCCAGTCACTGGTATTGAGAGGCATACTGCTGCCTCCAATCCTGGAGCTATTGTGTGGTCATTATGACTACTAGCTGTTGATCTCCATAACCTCCATGAATTTGTCTAATATTTGGCTTTTAAGCAGGTTGTCATCATTATTTCTGGGAGCAAGTTCCATAATTTAACTATGTGCTGTGTGAAGAAGCGTTTCATTTGGTCTCTTTTGAATCTTCCACCATTCAAGTCCATGGGATGACCCTAGTATTCTAGTATTGTGAGAAATAAGAGAAACATGTCTGTCTAACTCCATACTGTATTTAGTGAGATCATTTTGGAACCCTTTGCAATCCCTTTTCATTTTTATCACTCCAAAAAAATTCCTATCATCTACAAACTTGGCCACCAGGCTGTTCACCCTTGACTTCTTCTTCTTCTTCTTCTTATTATTATTATTATTATTATTATTATTATTATTATTATTATTATTATTTTCAATATAATTGAATGAAAATAATATGGTGCACTGCCCAATAGCCAAAGCTCCTTGGGTAACTGCCAACAGTTGACTGAATTAAAAAAGTGCCTGTCTCGATAAAGAATCTGGAGGAGCATATCTTGCACCCCTCCATTTTGAGAATTGTCCCTTTATTCCTACCATTTGTTTCCTGCCCTTTGAACAGACCCATAAGAAAACCCTTCCCTTACCCCTTAAGTGCTAAGTTTACTCAGAAGGACATTATTTAGCTAGTTTGTGGAATAATTAAAAAACACTGTTGATGAAATTAGGACACCTAAAACCTTAATGCACACATGATGTGTTGACTTGTTTACACACATGAACAAACATGGATGAACAGATTTTTGGCAGACAGTAGTGTAGATTTGTTGTAAATGGAGATGCGTTATGCCATGATTAATAAGTGATAAGGCAGCTGTTTATGTGTCACATCACAGAATGCTGACTTGGATGGATCTCCTATGTTCTTAACATACCCAAGAGTGGGCCTTTGGACTTTACTGAGCATTTCTTGCCTTACCCCTCCCCATCCACACCAAAATCTCCAAGACGCCTTCTCTGCTAAAGCCCCCAAAGTTCAATAAGACAGTCGTCATGTATTAACTGAATGGACTGTTCCAATCTGGATTATGTTTGCTACTTATGTGTATGTAACATAAATACTGCTTTCAGTTAGCAAGACATTGGATATTTTTGCTTTCTTCTGTTAAAAATATCATCGGAGCCCTTCTAGGTAAGAACAAAGGACCATTACTATAGTTTAACATCTTTATTCCAAGTGCTGCGTTCTTACCAGGAAGTGTACAAGCAAAGCATATAGACAATAACCCTCTCCATTCATTGTCCCCATTATTTAATATTCAGATGTAAAGAAGCTCTGACTAGCTCTATCATGGCTAATGGCTGCTGACTAAGTTGTCTATGTCTTTTAAAAAACCATTTAAGTTAGTGGCAGCAAATCCCATGAGTGAATTGTGCATTGTATGAGGAAAGAAAAAAACTACTTTTTTCTTTTGTCTGTCATGAATTTATTGTCAAACTATCTCATTGGATGACCCCACATTTTAGTATTATAAGAGAAGGTGAACAAATTCTCTCTACTCAGTATTGCCCTTGTTTTTTTTTCAGCTTCTTATGTATCTGTCAGCAAAATGACATGGATGAAAACGCGTTTCTTTAAATAAAGAGTTTTCTTTTTTGCGGTCGCAGCATAAGCCAACTATCAATACAAAGGCAGTTTCATGACCTTGATGTTCCAAGTGTGTACGTCTTGATAAAATCTATAGGCCAGGTATATTTGTCTTCCATCTACTGTATGAATCAATCTTCCTGTTTGTGACTCAGTTTTGAGGAAAAAATAGCCAGTTTTATTGATGGCATTTGAAGCAACTGTATACTTTCTGCCCTCAAACTAACTTAAAATGCCCAGAATGTTATTCTGCAGACTCTGTTGAAATCAAATGAGTCCATTGTCAAGTTACAACAAATGAACCCAAAAGTGGGGGAAGGGGACAAGTTTAACTTACTTTTGTACTTTTAGTAATAAGGTTGCAGTTGGAAAAATAAAAACAGATCATTCCGTCCTTCCGTCCATCTGTCCTTCCTTCCTTTTTAAGGCACAGAAAAGGTAGCAGCTAACAATTAAGGATCGAACTGGACACAGTATCAGATCTGTGATTGGATTACTTGAAGGTTTCAAAAATGGAAAATGCAGCTGTGAGGGGTGCAGGATGATGCAGATTGGAAGTACAGAACTGGAGGGGAGGGGTTAACCCTTTCTAGTTGTTGCCCCACCCACGAAAAGAAATACATCTGACAAATACTTAAAACACATGTCTTAAAATGTACTTGTTAACAATAGCTAACTATGTATCCACATTGATGTGGTTCCTAAAATTCTTGTTCTCTTCTCTTACACCGGCATATTGATTGAGTTATTAAGGATGGGTATTCAGGTGGTGTTTTCCATGGTCCTCACAAGTGAGGCCTGGGCTGGCTGTCCCATCAGACAGTAAGTTTGCTGCCTCAAGATGAAGATAAGCCACAGCAGGGCTCTATAGACCAAGGATGTGCATGCCAGACAACCTTCCCTGCATTGTCTAAGCTAGCCTGCTGCCCCCAGACAGGGTGGAGAACAATGTCCTACCACCAGTAGTAGTAGGCTGGTCTGGTCAGCTTCTGTACATGGAATGTAGGTGGGAAGCCTCCTGTCTTTGTCTCAGAGAGCCCAGCTGATGAGAAATTCTGTTCTGAATTCAAAATGGAGGCAAGCTTCACCTTTGTACCTGAAAAGGTTTGCTCTGACTGGGCGTAAGCGTAACAATGAGACAGACTTCAAAGACTCTCATCCTCTACTACATGTGTCATTACTCTGCCTGGCCCTTTTCTAAGAGCAGGTAATTTTGGCATGCTTGTATCACAAGTGATTAAATGATCTAGTCACAACTCATCAATCCCCAACACTGTCAAAAACAGTGATATGTACAACAGAATTAGCCACCCCCCAGTAGTGATCAGAAAAAGAGGTGGTCAGAATTGTAATAGTTCATGCAGAAAGTGTTGACAGCTTCCTCTGTGTCTGGAACTTTGAGCTCAATGGAGTTTTTAATTGTTTAATCCAGCAGTGCTAGCAATTCTCTTGCGGTACACCCATAACTTTCTAATCCTGATACAGTTAAACAAAGATCCAGATCAGTATAAGCTATCAGGGCCACCTCTACTATGAGGCAGATTGAGTCAGTGGCTCTGAATGGAAGATGTTGGGTAGGAGGGTCTGGGAGTCACTGCAGAGGGTTGGAGGAGAGAGGTGTGCATTTGTGTGTGTAATGACTTTCCCCATTATTGCTGCCATGACGGGTGATGGAGAATGCTGTCCTCCCACCAGTGTTGAAAGAGGATTGAAATATCAAGCCAGCTGTCATCTATACATGGAATGCGAGGGCATACCATGTTGTCCTTTGCTTTGAGCAACAGAAAGTCTTGAGTTGGCACCAGCTATTCTCAATTATAATAATTCAGAGTTTTTAGGCTGTAGTCTAGCAGTAATGTCTATGTCAGCATAGCTCAAGACTATTTATTTGCACCTTCATAGATGAGGAGCAGCAGCTTTGGTACCTTCATTCAACTTCATGTACTAGGCACCTAAGTTAGGAGACCAGGCCTGGGAAAAATATTCTAGAACCTTCTGGATTGGATCCAATTCTTGACAGGTTTAGATGTGTTGATGGGTTTGTAAAAAAAGGAAACTATGTTGGGTTCTATATAGACATAACGCTTAAACAAAGACCAAAAAAAAAAAAAATCCTTGGCTATCTTGCCTCAACTAAAGGAAATAGCATCCCTAACCAACCCCACTCCCCATATTTACATTTAGAGGGGACAAATGGCTCAATGACAGTAGCTGGGGACTAGTTAAAACTAGGATGCTAGCCTGTTTGGGTCTGGCCTCAGCTGCCCGCCACTGCATAAACCTGGGCCATGCATCTCCAGTGTGTTAACACCACAACTGTGCTGGGTTTATGAATGGGACTCTAAGGAAACCTTAATCCTCGTATTCATTCCCAATTTTAACAAAATCATAACCTCCATGTGCCCTTCTCCACAGGGCAAGCCCTATCATATGGCAGCAGGTGCTGAGGACCACAAGGTGTTAAGAGGACAGAGCTGTGTGTGCCACATGACCTGTTCCACACCCCTCGAGCCAGTTTTAATGCATCCCCAGTGTTGGCATCAGAGTCAACCACCAGGGCAGTGTGCATCTGTTCAAAGAATGAGGAGTGGCCACTACCTCATCCTTTGTTTCAGGCAGCAAAATGTCTTCTGCCAGCCATGGTTTTCAAACATGAGGCAAGTAGTCTGGTCCCACAGCTGCTCTGTAATTTGAGCACTGCACCACTGGCATCTGTGCTGCCAACGTGGTTCAAGCAAGATGCTGCTTGTGTGGAACTCCAAAGGGGTAACTGTGATCGTTAGTCGCATAGCATCAAGTTGTAATTTCGCCAGTTGATGCCTCTCGCCTGCAAAATGTAGGTCATCAGCCACTTTAAAACATATATATGCAGGCTTTCAGGCAATCCTTCCAGATACAGAAAATCATGTGAGCTTTTGGACAAGAGCTATTACCCCATTAACGTTTTGGGCATGCTTTCAGAGACCAGAGGGACAGGACATTTTCCACATGTTCAAGTGAGGAGAATAGGGTTGGAGAATCAAAGGAGTTTAGGAAGGAGCACGAGGTAACCCCGAGATCCCATCAGCAGATCAGTCACATGACAGACCCAGAAGCAATTCCAAGGCTGCACATATGTCAGAACAGGGAGCTTGCAGAGGAGCTTCGATTTCTATTTTTCTTTCACAGCTGGAGATAAGCACAGCCTAGCAAGGGCAGCATAAGCACAGAAGCAAAAGGGGTATGTTGGACTGTGAATGATTCCTCACATGTTTGATCCTTTGTTTCACTGCCAAAAATTTTACATGAAAATTGAGACATGAGGCAAAAACTTGATCATATTTTGATGTGGCTTGCATGCTATCTTACACAAACAATTTTGGAACAAACCTACCTGGGACTCTGAGCCAGTGTTTCATTTTTGAAAAGTCACCAGGATAACAGAGATGCAGAGAGTGACTTGTCAAAATAGTGCCAGGCTTAGTGTTGTCTGGGATGTAGCAGCCTCAGTGACTTGTATTAGAAACAGGTGGGGGCTTCCTACAAGCACAAATACCATCCACCATGCCTCCCCTTTAAATAACAAAACAAACAGTGAACAGCAGGTATTTATTTTGCTTCCTCCAAGCAGGAGGTGAGGAAACAGGCTAGTAACAATCAATGATTGACTATACCCCACAATTAGAAGGTATGGATCTCTTCAAGAAGCTGAATCTTTTGATCTGTGTATCACATCTGCATCTATTTGGCTACTTAAATATTTTTTCTACTTTTGTTAGACATCACAGTTAAGGCATTCCAGCTCCTACCCTCTGAGCTCATACGCTGGAAAAAGAAGCAAAATGAGGCTATGTACCTTAATGGTAAACTGCATGCAGGTCTTCTCATCTGGTTGGTAAGAAACACAGAGCATTACTAGTCCCAGTATAGCCACCACGCAGACCTATGAAAGGTAAAGTGAAACTGAGATTACGTTTTAAGACCTGTGCTTGAGGGGAGAAAAGGAGGCAGACAATATCAGACCAAAACATACCATTTCCAGCACATACTGTCATGCACTCACTGTATATGTGTATTATTTTATTAGCTTTCATTATATAAGCTGCCTGACAGCATATGTTTTCTTGATGGCTCACAGAAAGGAAAGCAAAGGAAAGCAAAGGAAAGCAAAGGAAAGCAAAGGAAAGCAAAGGAAAGCAAAGGAAAGCAAAGGATGCAATATGAAAATGGATGATCAAAGAACAAATAATTGTAGGACAAAACTATGTTCACCTGAAAAAAGAAAAAAACTGATGTAAACCAATGTAAAACTGATATGGCAGCTTGAATATACAACAAAATGTAAATCAGGAGCCCAGTTTTTTTAAAGGCTCATTTGAATAAGGTCTTCATCTGCTCCTGAAACAAAAGCACCAGATGAGTCTATCTAGGAAAGCTATTTCACAGGCAAGGTGCTATTGTGAAGAAGACTCTGTCCCACTCAATTCTCACTGAATTAGAGGGTGTGGTATTTTGCTGCAGTTTTTAAAGCAATAGAAGAACCTAAAAATCCTTTTTGTCCTTATTATGGCAAGGACATAGAAAGAAGTACGTATCTGTACCGTGGACACTGGTAGCACCATCCTTAGCAGCACAATTCTATGCCTGTTGTCAATGGGGTTTTACTCCAGTGCATGTGCTCAAAATTGTAGTCATGCATTGCCATTCTAAGCATGCTTTCTCAAAAGTAAGTCCCCTGAAATTCAGTGGAGCTTATTCTATGGTTAGTGTTCTTAGGATTGCAGTCTCTGAAGACTGATCACCTGGAAACAGTCAACACAACAATTTTGAATCCTATCTGAATTTTCCCCTTCAAAATGACACTGTTCTTATTTTCTTGGGAGTTTAAATTTAGTGTAAGGGGACAATTTCTCTGAACCCAGGTACGGATTTCTCATCAGCACTTTGCTGGCTAAAAACAGATCTCTTGGCCCTGGAAGTTCTGTTTCATGTAATTTCAAGAAATTCATTTGCCTGAGAATACAGCTAAGGAACATGTGGTATGCCGCTTATTCTTTTGTTGTTGTTGTGTGCATTTGTATTTTGGTTCTCCCATTTATTTGTCTTTATATATAGTTGACAGGAGAAGTTGACAGGGATGTCAAGGGAAAAATACTGTTAATGTTGCAGGTGCTTCTGGGGCTGTCCTTTCCAGGTCCTTACAGAGCTACTGCTTTTCTGGTCTAATCCTCTGTGTCCTTGTTCTTTACCATCTCCATGATGCCTTTAATTCAATTAACATGTGCCTAATGCTCAGATCTTGAAATGAGATCATACCTAGCCACAGTCAAATGATAAATAAAGTTTAGACAGCCATGGGAGTAGCTGAAGAGTCAGGGTATAGATATAACAGGCTGAAAATATCTGAGCCAGTTCATAGCCAGAGCTTCTGGGTCCCACGTGCAGAACAGCTGGGAAGTGCGTCCATCAATATACAACTTCCAGGTGTCATCTGCTTAAGTCATCCTTGCAGAAATTGCAGGGCCATACCACTATGGATTGATTTGGCCAGCAAGAATATTTAAAATCAGGCTTGTCTTTCAACTGGCAGCTGAAAGGGGGGGGGGCAATTGTATAGTAAAATCCAAATTGCCACAGCAAACCAACAAGCATAAATTAGTGTTCTACAAAGCAGTAGCAAAGTGGCACAGCAGAGCAGTACTAGAAGAGCAGCAACTCCAGTATTTAAAGCCCCAGTTTTAAAACCTGGCATCTGAAAGCCAAGAGTGTTGATCCCAGGGGAAGATAGCCTGGTTCCCTTTTTATGCAGGGCAGTCCTCTATTTGAAGGTGACTTTCTGTTTGACCAGATGTCCAATCCAAGTCCAGATTAAAGATAAAGAACCATAAAAAGTATTCTCCACAACTAGCACCTGAACAGGGTAGGTACATAGGTCATCTGGTCTGTCTTCCACAGAGATGGATTGTACTTCTAATTATATTACAATTATGTCTAAATATACATTAGCATAGGTAAACATTTAGGTATAGGTATGCAAATCACTTTCCTCTTTTTTGGTTGATTCTTAAGTGCCCACCCTTGATAGCCCTATTTATAAAGAGTAGACCTAATTTTGGTCAATTTCTGCCGGAAGTCCAACAATAAGAGTATGTCTGTGGATGCAATCCACTGTAGTTACTGGGAAGTAAATGCCACTGAACTTTTGTACAAACATGAATTGGACTGTGTGGTAAGTAGATTTTAAAGAAGATCTTTGGAGACAGTACTATAAATTCTGTACTCTACTCACCTCTTGGGCCTACTTCTTTCAGGGCTAGTAAATCTGTGACTGAGCTGAACCACTTTGGACTGCCAATGGGGTCCACATGCTCCAATAACCCTCTTTATAAAAACACTCCCAGTACTTAGGACTTAAAACCATGTATAGTTTGCTTTTATACGAACAAGTCCCGAGAAGAGTTAAGCTCATACGCTGCACCCTCCACCTTGCTTTTTCCCTCAAGTGCAAGTCCTCATCCACATTTGTAGCCAGAAAATCAGTTTCCTTAAATATCCAAATGGGTGAGCTATAACTGATGCTTGCTTGCAAACCCAGATCACAGACCAGAGTTTGATTGTGTTTTAAAGGCAAGCACAATTATAACTTCTTGTTCAGGCAAACAGTTTCCTGCAAATTAGGATCAGAAAACCAGAAGAGGGGAGAAAACAGCATGTTTCCCAGGGAAGTACGCCTGGCACCTTCACTGATACCTTTTTGATGCCAGGCAAGGACATTTTATTTACCAGACATTTTAAGAATAGATGGATTAATATTTTACATTTTTAAATAAATTTTAATGATTGTTTTATCACTGCTCTACCTGAGGTAATTTTATTGACTGGTGTGGCTATCTGTTGGGTAAACTGCATTTTTATTGTATTTTATTTCATGGATTTTAATTGCATTTTATTGTAGGAATTTTATGCTGGATTTTTATTGTGATACACTGTGACACTGCCCAGACAGCTCTGAAGATCTATGGGAGCAGTTTATAATTGTAAAAATAAATAATTACAATAAATCTTCTGAGGACTCCACTGAGGGACCCACAGGTAACAATAAGACCAAAAGCACCACTGTTTCCACCTGCCTGGCCTCTTCTGATCTGTATTGTTTTGAAAGTTTTTTTTGTATTTAAACAACAACAACGGGGAGGCTGGCATACTGCAAAACAAAGCACCGTCCTTCAGTGTCGCCTTTATTTCCAAGAATGTCTCTAAACTCTGGAGACATTTTTAAAAATTAAACATGACAAATATCTGTTTGGCAGGATGCACATTTTGTCCAGGGTGCTTGTTCTTTGTGATTACTTTCTGTGCGATGGCTAATTTTGTTGTCTTTGTGGGGGCAAATATGTCATTTGGAGATCAGGTCCCACCTCTGCTTTGTGTACAGTTACTTGTCCAAGTTACTTAGCAGTTTGGTTACTGGGAAAATGGATGTTGAAGCAGAAAACTGTGGTGGGTTTATATTTAAAGCTCAGTTCCAACATGAGCTTTGTTGGAAAGTTGTGAGTTACACCAGCTTGCCTTGTGGGAAGTGGGTGTTTTGTGTCTGGCCACACGCATCCCATGGCACCTACTCTGTATGCTGGCAAGTCCCTTCTTTGTGGCCATTTTCTGGAAGTGCCCATTACACTTTCTCACTATTCCAAATGTGTCCACCAACCCTCCAAAATTGAGGACCCTGGGTCCTAAACTGGTGTCTCAATGGAAGAAAGAATCCTAGCCTTTGACACAGTTATGTAGTCTGTGCAAGGGATTTAATTTATTTGGGGGGATGGAGAACCATTCAGTCATGCAAAGTCACCCCTGCTGAAACTGAAACATAAGTTCACCTAAGCACCTCGATGAGAAAAATTCTCATGGTGGATCCCCAGATTTTGTCAGTACAATGAAATAGGAAAATTGAGGAAATTTATTCTAGATGCTGCACTTATTCTGACATCAATTTCAGGAAGTTTGTGCTGTGCCTTTTTAACTGAGGCACCCTAGATTCCTTTGTCTATGTCCTTACTCTGGAACTGACTTATTTATGACTTAGAAGGTGTGGAAGGCAAGAGATAGTTAAACCATAAATTACCTCATAGATTTATTTTTGAATTTTTTTGAATCCTATTACAGTAAGTCAAGTTTTACAGAGAGGGAGGGAGGGAATAATGAATTCCAGTTCTTTTTTTTTTTTTTTTCTGGCATGCTGAGAACATTTTGCTCTTACTGGTTCACCAGCTAAATTCTCCTTCATTCATGTTAATGGACTAAAGCACTTGATTTTCAGCATGGAACACTGTGACAGTTTTGCCACTAATAAAGCAAAAATCTTTTCAATAAATCAGTCTCTATTTAGCACATTAGCACTCTCCCTTCACTCTTCTGTCATAGTATGTTAGCAACAGCTAAGCGGGCAAAGTCACCCCTGAGGTAATTCCAAGAGGGATTCACAAGGATGAGCTTAGGCTATCCTCTCTAACTAACTTCTCCGAAATGGTCTTAAAAATACATTTCAGGGGTTTTGGAGGACTGGCAAAGTGAAATGTCGCTCAAATACTGGCTTGGGGAACAGGGGAAGAAATGCACTTGAGTGGGATGTTGCTAAAAGAAGCACTTGCTGGAATTTTACACCACATATCCGTGTTCTGCTATGCTGCCAAGAAATGAACCATTGCTCATTTCAGCCTTAATCAGTGAATACCAGAAAGAAGCACAGGCTTGAATACAAACTTCTAATTTTGGGAGCAGGGCATATGATATTCGTCCCCAACCCACCCCCTGCCCCACCCTTTGTACTGCTGCTCAATCTGTATGCTGATTTCATCTGTTTAAAAGTGAGTTGGTAAAACTAACTGAGGTGCTCTGAGAATAAGCACACAAGATGTTGCTGGTATTTTGGCTCTGTTATGTGCA